GTATGTACCATCATAAAATTAAGATGTTATTTTTACTAGAACATAGGTATTGTGTGAAAAAGTGGAGTTTGGGATCGGGCCAGTTTCTGGGAATTAATCCTATATGTTCTGTTGTTCACTAGCGGCTTTTCACTTAACACGGTACCCTGTGGTTTATGACCGCCATAAGCGGGTACTACTGTATATATATATATATATATATATATATATATATATATATATATATATATATATATATATATATATATATATATATATATATATATATATATATATATATATATATATATATATATATTTATATAAGCTGATAACGAATCTAATTGGTTCTAGAACCTTGTTCGTTATAGCATTTCTATTGGAATTAATCCCATATGTTCTGTTGTTCACTTAACGCGGTTTTCACTTAACACGGTACCCTCTGGGTTTTATTGACCGCGTTAAGTGGGGTACAACTGTATATATATATTGCTAAACAAATGCAAGTAAAATTGATCCATTTAGTGGTTGTTAGACCTAGAAATCAGGATGAAAAAATGCTTGTGGTAATGGATATAATAAAAATGTTAAATAGATTCTTACAATGTTAAGGTCATCCAACCGTCCTCTGACACCTTGGCCCATATCTTTACGTTCTTTGCTTGTCTCAGGACATGGGTATGTGGTGGCACGGCAGCCATCACAAATCTTCTTGACTTTATTCTTCAGTTGCTCACCTTGGAAAAAGATCAGGAAGACTATCTTGTGTACTTGGTCTCCCTGTGAATGATACAATTTCAGGACATCAAACACATAATCTTATGACAGCTAAAACATAATTACAACATATAAATTCACAAATATTAATGACTGATAATTTGAAGAGAACCTCTATAGGAAATAGAGAGGTTTTGGCCAGAAATTGAATAATAATTTGCATTATGTTTGTAGGTGAAGCGCTTGTGTGGCAGCCTACAGTACCTGTATTGTGGAATGTAGATGCAGTGTTGCTATATATTGGGAAAAAAAATCACTGTAAATAAGGCTTCAACTGCCAAGAAAATGTGGCCTATATGATTTAAGATATGTGTTTGAAGATATTAAAATTAAAAAGTGAACAATACAATGTGTTTGTACTGATACCAAATGCTCAGTAAAATCTATTATACATTTTTTGGGTAACCAAGCAGCTAGATGTCATGCGGTAATGCTGAGAGGGTGATCAGATTATGTAGTTGTAGATCCACTTACCTGAAGTCATACCTCAATAAATGTGGTACTGCCTTGCTCCTTGTTTTATTTCCAATTTGGGAGGATGAAATAACAAAAATAGCCAACCACCATTTTTTTTCATAAGTTCATGCAATAATTAAGCAACTGCTGACAGGTTGAGATAGTCATAGTACAATAAGGTATGCATAAAATTCTTAATCTATTTTTGGCTGTTATATATTTGATTTAGTTTAAATTAAAAAAAATTGTGCATTTTTATGACTTCAATTACCAGAGAACATTATCTGTCAGCTCAGGTTCACCCACCAAATTCCTCCAGTACTTTGTTTATCAGTGTTCTAGTCACATCATGCCTTAGACATTGTAAACTGTGATGCATTTTCAATGCTATTCTCCTATGTAATGCTCCCTATTTCTTCCATGTTAGGTGTAGGTGGCAGTGTTGAGTGTAATGAAAGTGAACAAAAGTTAAACAAGTATTCAATGTAAAGAGAAGGGTACACAGTATAACAATGAGCCCCACAAACATAAGTTGCTGCTACTTCCCTTGCTACACTCAGTGGGTGTAAACAGGTTACCATTTAAGTACAATTGTAATAGTTTTGTATTTTAATATTAAACTTAAGTTACATTATCGCAATAATTGTTCATGTTTAATTAAACATGGACACAACCTTAATTGAGTTACCACACTTCTATGGCTTAATCAAATTATATGGTGACTGCAAATATTTTTGGTTCTTACATTTATTATAATTTACTAAAGATGACAAACAGAGAAAACAACAGACAGAGTCTTCACTTATTTTTTTTCCTCCATTGGAAGTACAATGTAAAATAAAAAGGACTCCTATTTACCGTATTGTAAGACGGCTGTCGTCAAGTCAACAGAAACTCTCAGATATTCATATTGCAATGATTGGTACCACATCTCTTGTTCTGACTTGGGGAAATGCTATCTGTCTCTTCATATTCAATGGTAGGGACATAAAATCTATATTTATCTTTATGTAACAAATATAAAATTACCACAAACAAGTTTTAACATCTTACAGTGACAGGATCTTCCAAAGGCTCGAGGATCTCAGCCTGTCGTACAAACACATTTCCACGGCAGACTCTCCAAAGCATGCGTTCAAACATGGGCATCCGCTCACGAGTGGCCACACCAGCGACAAAGCTTTAGGAAAAAACTTTGGTTAAACAGTACTCTATCTTACTATCTGACAACTACTTTGTTCTAATTTAACTCAAGTTACATATATATGGTAAATCATTTTGCAGTAAAAAAAATTCAGTTAAAACAAATACTGTATTGACAAACACCTGAAACTTAATCAAATGTCAAAGAATAATAATAAAAAAACTGTTCAATGCATTTTGAGTACTGATGAAGTACAAATTAGTCCCTTGATGTAAATAATAAATTTTATGTTATTGTCATGTTTTAGACTAAAATCTATTTCTATAATTTCATAATGACTCAAAATTAATGGGAAGTTCTTTTCTCTAATAAAAGCAGAGATTATACTCTCAAGTTGAACTCACCCAAGCTGAACTGATCCCTTTCCTTCCTCAGCAGGCAGGAGGTTCTGGGTGATGCTGCTATTGGGTTCAGAATCCTGCTGATCAAGATGGATGGGAGAATGTGCCTCTTGCTGTTAGTTGGACTCGAGCCACACCAGACAGTACAGTATACACAAAACACACCACCCATAATTAAGTTTACAGAGTTCCACAAATGAGACATTACAGACAATTGTTCACAACAATCAACATTGAGCAATTTTAATCATTAATTCCAATACATAAATTGCAAATAGGCACATACACAGGAGAATTTTAAGAATATTATGGAAGTTTAAACATATATATATATATATATGTAAATATATACAATTAAAAAATATATAAATGTATATATTATATAAGAAATCATATATCCCAGGAAATATTAGTAATTTTGTCGGGCATTTTGTAATGAAAATATTGTTCAAAACACAAAGTTATCAAATCCCAGCAGAAATATTTGTTAAGAGCAGCAGATGTGAGCAGATGCAGTTGGGGTTTGAGCCGTGCCGAAGAACCAGCATCGCAGAATCACACGCACAGGGGGGGAAAATGAGAGTATCATTAGTATTTACCCGATATTTGTTGTTCAACTGGACTCTTTTATTTTTGTTAGAAGATATTATATATTAATTATCTTCAATATCAGGCTTCAGTGTTACTGATTTCAGAGTAGTAATATCTTTGACATGCCCATTACAGTATTTTATGGAGAAAACCTTAAGAATACAACCATCTGCCCATTTCAGCCAAATATTCATTTCAATTAGCTTTTAATGTGTTAAACTATTCAGTGAAACTTTTTATGTCATTGTTAATAAAAGTCACTGAATTAAATACGGAACAGCAATTGAAATATAAAATTTGGTTATAAGTACAACCTAAGACAGAATGGCTCAGCTCAACCATTCCTGATTTCTTTCTTAAATGCTGAGTCATCCATCTCTTATATGTTAAAGGGTCAAGCAAAAAAAAAAAAAGTAAATAAGGCGAGAATTTTAGAGGATGCCAACTCTTGCCTACCACCCGACTCCGACACTTCTCTATCTTCCTACCCAACCCAAAACAGGGTCCTAGCTGTAAATGCAAGCAAATAAGTTAACCCTATATGGCACTCTAAAGCAACTGTATATATGGCTATAAAACCTCAGATATGATGTACATTAAGGAAAGCGTTTATGCTAAGTAAATATAACAAGCAGTGGGCACAAAAAGTTACTGTACTATACAAAGTCAAGGAGCAACTCCCCTCTTAATATACCCTCCCAACTTCACTTTAGACATCTTTGAATCAACTCGTATTAAAATTATATAAGTGAGTTTACAAGTCTAGAAAGATATGTTGACTGTACAAATAATAATAAACAAGTCAAAAATGAAGGACAACATACCCCATCTCTATCTGGACCTGACTTATATTTACAAACACACTAACAACAACACATAAAATAAAAGAGGGATTGTTTAAGCCGACTTATCACGACTATTTCAAATGAAAATACAGTACCATTGGCATTCACCATACGAGGAATGATCTCCCAAACCTTCATTGCCTGGGTAATCTCTCTCTATATAAAGCTAATCACTTTAATCTATAACTCTATCAATAGCTAATCAACTATTTCTCAGCCTATTTATCTTCTATTCTTCTGTAGCAATAAGTATCCATGAAATCTGCATAAGTGAATAATAATGCTGTGTTCTAAATTATTGCAATTTCTTACCACTATTCCTATTAAATTCTATTTACTTTCATTAATATCTAAATATGCATTAAGAGTTCCAATAAGGATAAAATGCTTTAAGGCAATTGGAACATTTCTAACAAATTGCATGCAACATCTAATCAATCAAATACTGTACTGTACTCGAAATTATTCAATTTACCCAACACTGGCTCTTCACATCCTGCACACCTAGTTGTCACTAATAATGATCACAAGTTTCAAGCAATACAGTACAAATTTTTTTTTTTATGAGTTAGCTTTAAGTACTGTACACCTTTCCTGACTGAGTGAAAGAATGATTTCAAGTGACCCTACTAGTCGATGCTGTGGGTTCCTCTTCACAGTACCCCCATCACTATTACATCTGATGACCAATTCTTGACAGCCTCTGTTGATGTTTATTGTTACCACACTATCATCATTATATTCCACTATTTACTGTATTATGAAGACATTCTTTCACTGTTTTTCTTTAGAACAAGAACAATTTCAAACATTCTTAACTATACTCCACCCTACTGGGGGCAAAAGCACAATACCTCATACTGTACTGCATACTGTATACACAAAAAAAAATCTCCTCCCATGATACACAGAAGTAGTAATAAAAATTTTCCTTCCCAAAAACTTGTTGATACGATGACAACAAGTTCTCTATTTTTTAAACCATCTTGGGTATGGCTGGTAGACTAGAATTTAGTAACATCTGCTAAACTTCTAATATCAAAAGCTTTTTGTTCACATATTAAATTTCATTGATTTATTATACTGTACTCAATACACCTAACCTTTTACTTAATTTTGTTAAAGCAATATTAATTTGTACTATCTTTAAATGAAAAACAAATAAAAAGTGTTGAAGAAAGATATTGAACGCGCAGTACTCAAACTAAAATCGCGACTGACCTTAGTCTGTTACCGTGTACACTGGGATAAAACAAAAACTCAATATAAGATAAGTGTGATAAAATACTGTTCTGTACCTGTATACGAATTACAAAAGCAGGTAAAAAAATGCATACTGTACACTCCTTTCAAGGGAAACTAATGGATACTAATAAAACTAAATACAGTGACCCCTCGTTTAACGAACGCCTCGGTTAACGAAATTTCGGTTAACGAACTGCCTTCCATAAGGATCTTCAATTCGGTTAACGAACAAAAATTCGGTTAACGAATTTCTTACGAACCGACCTCAACATGTTTTCGCTTGCACTGACCGGGCAACCAGCTTTAGTATCAGTCCGCCAATACATTAATCGGTTCTAGGGCTTAAATTCCTTACTATTTTAGTAAATATCAAGAAGTTTATACTATTCAATAATTTTAAGTTTAATATTCAATTTTTTAGTCATTTTAACGATTATTGAACATAATTGAAGGTAATGTGACTAGTTTAATGCGCAGCATCCAGCCTCTTAACACAGCAAACAGGTGTTAGTCTCTCTCTGTTTTCACTGGAGGTAACATCTTGCTTGAGACTCTCTTCAACTAAACACTTTTTTTCTGTGTTTCCAAGCAAATTATTGGTCATTTTGAAATATATTTTACATATTGACAATATATAATGCAGTGCAGTGTTGATTTAAAGAAAATAATCTTGAATTACACCAAGAGAGCTAAAATTTTATGGGTGAAATGGCACCATGGGGTGACTTCTCTTCCACCCCAATGCCTTCTCTTCTTCCTTCTCCTCCACCCCCATTCTAAATCCCATCATCATCACCATCATCATCATCATCATCCAGGAGCCTTCTACAAACACACCTCAAAGTAAGTGAACTTTTCTACCATTTTTGTTGAATTTAGGAAATTTTCGGTGAGCTGGAACCAATTACCCAAAAACCCATTGAAACAATGGTTTCGGTTAACGAACTTTTCGGTTAACGAACGACCTTCTGGAACAGATTGAGTTCGTTAACCGAGGGGTCACTGTACAGTATGTAAATCCTATTTACCTTAAAAATGAAAAGCAAATTTAATAATAAATTAATTAAATAAATAATATACAAGAGTGCAAATCACATTTTCCACAAGAGTAGCATTAGCTAAGTATTATGGTAAATTTTAATGGAGAAGATGCAAATTCATGCTTAAATATCTATATTATGTGTTAACAAAATCCAGCATGCTGAGTAATAACCAGTAATGATTCCTCTTAGGAAAGAACGGTTATTCCATTCCAAGCCAAAATCAAGCACATCCATTATCTTTGGCATGAAGAGAACAGGAGACCAAAAAGAAGAGGAATCTGATTCACATTGTTCAAATGGCTATTCCTGAGTCCCAAGAAGACACAAGAACTGAAAGTGTTACCTTATATCTAGTGTTATGTTAATGCAAATGCAGTGTTTAGTTCTCAAAATGCAAGTCTGAATAATGTGTATATGCTTACTGCTCCTTAACAGCTATACTGTACCATCTTACCTTATATTCCATAAAACCATTTGTGTAGCTGTGAGGAAATTGCTTTAAATTGGATCTTCAAAGTCTCTTCATCATTATAATTCATTTTAGGTGGTGTGTAATGGAGGATACTGCAGTATTTCTATGGGCTTACAAGATATTCAGAATTTAGAGATAACTAATGACTGTTTTGTCTCCTGAGTAAAGCAGCACTCATGAGGGGTAAGAAACAATCAGCAACTACATTGTCACTAAGGGGTACTGCAGAGTAAGCTGGTTGCCCCTTTTGTTACTGAGGCAAGTAGAACTAAAAGCTTTGACAAGAATGCTTGATCAATTATGAACTTAGGTTTTACCTGCAGTCCATTATCCACTGTGCCACAAAGTCCCTTCTATCTTAAGAGAAGTTTGAAATATTTGTGATGGTTAAAGATAATCATATACAAAAATAAGCAATGATTTTCAAAATCTTGTAACAGCCTAAAATTGTATTGAAAATCATATTTATTGTGACCAAATGTATCTTCCATTATGATAATGAAAGTACCTCATAGGCAAGATTGTCCATTGGGGACTGTGTGGATATATCACTTTATTACAGTAGTACTTTAATACAACTTAACTTCAATTTTGTTTTTTAAATACAAAGTGTATTTTTTTATCTTTAGTTTTGTAAACTTTTATGCATAAAGCTTGTAAGAGCTATCTTTATCTTTGGTTAGTAGCTGACTACTAATTTAAACATTCAGAAGAAGATGCTCACACAGCTAATACATACAGTATTAATTTATAAAACTACTGACATGACATGAAAATACAAAAAAACAAGAAATTGGCAAGATAAAGCAAGGACAGAATACTAAACTACAAGTAACAACATAAAGTGATGTTAAAGAGGCCAAAATGACAAGTTTCATCATCACATTCCCAGGCAAAAAATACAGTACAGTACTACAATATCTTTATGAGAGTCTTCAAATTAGCATCAGTCTGTCACACTACAGTATACCAAAAATGTCAAGACCTCACATGTCATCACAAACAAATAATGCCATAAACAATATTCATTCATTTATTTAAACAATCAGAACACAATATGAACATGAAACAACTATACTACCAATGCTCTGCATTCCCATAATAGCAAAGTCAACTTTACGCACAATACAGGAGAACCCCAATATATAATTCCAACGTACCATTTCACATCATCCATATCAAATTGGGGAATAAGCCTGTATGTAACAATATAACTTTTTATTTGCAAAAGATCAAAGGACTCAGTATTCAATCTACACTTTAACTTGAAGTAAGACTTCACATTAACCGATTATTAATTACCAAAATTGGGCTTTAGTGCACTTAATTTAGAAAAAAATATCTTACTGCACTCAACTACCTTCAATTCCCCTTGTATACAGTACAGTACTGCATGTTATTATTATTTATTTACTACTGTGCAAAAGGAGGGCTAACATATGCTCAGATTCAGCAAAAATTTTGATTTTACACCCAGGTTTCAGTCTGAATCAAATATGATTAAGTGAAGTCTTACTGTATATTTAACATTAATTATAAAATTTAATTTGAGTAACTATACATAAATCTACATGTAAATTACAAAACATTAGTGGTAAATGTCTGTACAGTATTCCTCAAACAATATTACAGCTCATATAAAATACTAAACATCTAAGACTATCGTAAATTTGGAAAAGTGATCGGTAAATATCACAAGCTTTTAGCATCTTTTATCCTTAGATTTCAATCAATCAAGATGAAATCTTACCCATGATAACTTATAACAACCTCTACGTAATATACAGTATACAGTTGTTATTCAAGATTTCCGAGAATTTTATTAATCGAAATCAACAGGATGACAAAATTATCTACCGGTATATCCTTCACTACAGAAATATTGAAATAAAATACCTGAAAGAATTTTTTACCTTTACCTGTACTCAAGAAACTAAGCTTGGATGGATATATCAACACACAGGACACATTTCTACTTCTCTTCCCCCACTTTACTAAGCACTGAGATGGAGAACAGGATTGAACACATTTCTACAAGCATCCCCAAATTTGTTGGGTGAGGAATAAAAAGGATTATAAAACTAGGATGCTGGTTTGCCATTTCTATCATTTTCAGCAAAATGTATTTTGATATCTAAAAATAATCTGTGCAAACCAGTTAAAGCAGAATTGCCATAAATGTTTCTTACGAGTTTACAAAAATAATGAAAGGTGATATAGCACAGACAATATCTGCTTTTGAATTGAATTGCAGCTATATATTCATTAACTTCTTTCAAAGACATATTCTTCAAGCCAATAGCAGCATTAATAGGTGACTTTACTGTAAGCCTTCTACGGTCTTAGAGTCTGGTTAACATGACCACCAGAAGTATAAGCAAAAGTAGGCCTAAATGGTGCATTATCTACAAAAAATTATCTTAAGTCCATGAACTCATAACTGCATTGCTGTCATGATCTGAGCTTTGTAGTTCCTAATATCATCCTTTATTACTTCATAAAATTTACGAATAAATACTGACAGTCCCTTTTTACCACTAATGATTTGTTAATATTTACACTGAAAATGAACCTGTGATTAAACTTAATGATTTTACTGTACTGTAAAGTATTAATATTTGAAAAAATATATATATAAATTATCTAATCAAATTTTTGAAGCATTATTTGTAAATTACTGATAATCCTAATTCTGTATACAGTATCAAGGAATAAAAAAAGGAGTACTAACCTCTTTAAAGAAATGCTGGGTGATGTTCAGGACATGCTTGAGTTCTGTTAATTCAAGTGCATTCTTCTTCAGAGTTTCAGCATTGGCATTCACTTCCCTCAATTCATTCTCCAACTTCTCGAAAGTAGCCTGCATGACAAATTATTCAATTTCACTTTCAAAATTATTCTTACATACATATACAGTACATTATAATCTCCATAATTTAGAGTAATAGGGCTCTACCCTTCCAGTTACAAACACCTGTACACTGCCCCCTTGCTTAAAACGGGTTTTTCAACGGAGACTCACTGAAACACATTTTTTATATTACTACCCGGTATCATTTAACACAGAGCTAAGATTCGCTTTAACTCGGAAAACTCATATGAACGCAGTCAGGTAGAAATGTTTTGCAGTCAAGTCTCTTGCAATCCATCACAGGTAGCGTCCCCCACGTCGCATGGGTCAGAGTTTAGCACGTGCTCGTTCCAGCCACAACCAAAATTACGCTTGGATTAACTTCAGTCTGTTTGCTTGCTTTCATCACATTGGCTTTATCTAAATGTTCTTTAAGTGCTCCTCTGCCTAGGGACACTCCAACAAAGAAGAGTAGGACCACGGTTACCCTAAAAAGTAAGTTAGACATTCTTCAACGACTTGAGAGTGAAGACAATCCACCTAGGATGTCTCCACACAGTTGTTAATGTCAAACCAACAGCCTACATCACCACTATTCTTCGTACCATTCATATGTGACTTCAGTATATTTATTATTATTATTAAGATGATTATTCATCAAATTTAAGTTAGACATTCTTACAACTGAAGAAAGGCCAGTCCACCCACTCTGTCGGAGCAGTATTCTCCATGAACAAGTCAATCAAGAGGAATGCTGAGATGATTCGAGTCGTAATTTCAATTAGATAAACTTAACTTTCTTCATTTTTTTATTAATTTACATGCACACACAATCCTACACACAGAATGTGCAAAACCCCCAAAAATCACCATTAATAGGGCAAAAGCATAAAATGAATGTAAACATTTCTTCGTGCACCAGTGAGATTTAGTGGGAGTTATGTTATGGTAATTTTTCAACTCGTAATTTCAAGTAGTTATACTTAACTTTCTTAACATTTCTTTTATTCAGCTACATGCATACACAATCCTACATACAAAATGTGAAGAAAAAAAAAATATATACAAAAAATAATCATCATTAAGTCAAAACATAAAATGATTAAACACTGCTTTGTGTGCCAGCGGGAAGGGGAGCTTTGCTAAGGGAAATCCCCCAGCTGGGCCGGGTTAATACGGTGAGGCTTGAGGAAGACCACATGTGACTCAACCAGTGTCTGCAAATGGCCGCGGTGTTAAAATTTGGGTAATTTATTTCATGGACATGCCAGTGCCTCCACAAGATCATGCTTAAGTGAATCTGGTATATGTACTGTTTGTGTATATGTGAACTACATTAGAGCTGTACGGTGTCTTTGAACTTTGGTTTTGGAGTGTTTTTGGTATGTGTTTGTGGCGGGGTGGGGGGGGGCCTTTGTGAAGTCCACCTGATGTACCTCCTATCTCTCCATGTTATACTGGGTTTCCTCTACATTATGTAGGAGATACATTTTTTTACATTTAAATTGCTAGTTCATTTTATGGGATTTCTGGTCATGCAAATTTGGAGCATAGGAATTTCTGAAAACACCTTCAGTATTTTATGACAAATAATGAATCATGGAGATTTTACTTGAATAAGGGAAAAAGCACATACGAACAGGACAAAAAAGTGAAATATGACTAAAATGATCCATAACATTAAATTAAACACAAATAAAATTATAGTCACCTCCAGATCAACCATCTCCCGAGGCTGTGGAGCTTCTGGGTTTTCTCCAGTATCCAAAATTGGAACAGAGTCCTTCTGCATTTCTTTCTCCAGGTAACGGAGCTGCCGTTCCATTTCATCACAACGGCGCACTTCATGCACAAACTTGCGTTGGAAGGCATTAACATCTGGGTTGAGCTGCAATCAGATAATAATGAGGTTGGCTCTATTCTAACTCATTTACTTGAGGATGACTGCTTTGAATTAAGGTTGGAACAAATATTTAGGAATATAGAAATAGATTCAAGCCAAAGCCTTTATGAAATCAGTAAAACAATAAAAGAATATTTTTCAAAGCCATCAGTGATTAATTTATTTTTTTAATATATTATACTCTGCACACTACATATAACCACCCCCCCCACCCAAAAAAAAAAATCTGGTGATACAATAAAAAAAATGTATAAGGCATCTCACATCTCTGAACTGCACAAGCCCAATCTCTCCGATTTCTGATACACAGTTGTATGACCCCTCACTGGAGAGAAAGAGCTGACACAGGGTCATTGATTCACTACGGAATATTGACCCCATGCTGATGTTTGTTGATCCTGACCTGTAAAAGCGGGAAACATTATCTTAAGAACACTTCCTTAAAATATTTAATACAATTATTTAAAGACCATAAAGAGAAAGTACTGTAAACCGATAAGATTAATGATGGAAAAGATAAAAGAAAAACCCTCTTCGAGTGTCCAGCACCCGATGTGGGTCATATCTCCATAAATAAAGGTCGAAGATGAAATGAAAGGTCATATTCTTTTAAATGACCATGAAAGTCACAAAAAAAAACCTTCTATATCTTTAATAATTCCCATTATGGTCAATAAAAAAACTTACCCGGTAGTTTAAACTGTATAGCTCTACCAGTTATGTTAGAATGGCCTCCCGGGAAGCAAAGTGAGGGACCACTCGTTTCGGTCAACTTGTGGTTTTGACCATCCACGGCTCTCGAGTTGAGCATTGTTTTTTTTTCCAATGGTTTCGAATATTTTAAAACACTTTTCTTCTATGAAGTTTTCCTCTCAAATTACCTAAAATTACATAACCTAACCTCCTAATCTGCAGACTCCACCGCCCTGGATCCCCCAGGATATATAAGTCATTTGTGAGGGAAACGTCTTAGGAGAAAAGTGTCTTAAAATTGTCTAAAACATCGAAAAAACACATTGCTCAACTCGAGAGCCGTGGGTGGTCGAAACTACAAATTGACCCTCGTTTCTAATCTAACCTACCAACCTAACCTTCGGTTGCATATTGGTTGAAAATACAACAATACTAAATGTGGTGTCTCCTGAATGGGATTTATTTATATAAACTCCAATACAATAATCTAGCATACATAATGATCCATTTATTGATTCAAAGTTACAGTACAAGCTCTGTCCATCATCATCTACCGTTAAAAAACCTATTTGACACAACTGAAATAGACATATGTACATATATGACTGACAAATAACTCAAATATTGAAAGCATGTTAATAAATTATTGTAAAATAACTTACTTTTAGAAGAATAAGTTGAAATATCGCGGCCCTCACAGCTACTGCTAACGGACCTGTTGATTCTTCCACCCTGACTCCCGCTTCCCGAGTTAAAGGGATGCTACTTTGGAAACTGCATGTGATCCCTACTATGTCCAATCACAATACAGATTTAATATCCTTACGGTAGATACTTACTTTTGATTGGACCATACATCAATGTGATATCTTTCTTTCACCAATCAAAAACAATCATATGACTGACCAGCTGACTGTTGACAGCGCCATCTACGATGTTCGAATGCTTGTAAAATAACTTTAAAATTTATAAAATGTGATCAAACAATATTAACTGCATGAAGAATTGCAATTAATATAGTTTTTTCATAGTATACTTACTATCATATTAATTAAATTAAAATATCTTCCAAAATAACCAGCAATATACGTAAAATATCTGGGACAATGTGTCTCCGAACTTCGTGTCTCGCGCGATATTTAAACTCAAGGTAAACGTGTAAACAACTCGCACCTGTAAAGGTATTCTTAATTTATTTCAAGATTTAAGCCTCAATATTAATTATACTTAATTTAAATTTGCGATTTGTTTAAATGCTACTAGAGATGGCCAAATGGCTTTGCAAATCAGGATACATTACTTAAAATTGACCAAGTTACCATGCAGAAGTTGAGCAAACAACAGGAAATACCACAGGTTGACAACCCCTTATCAGAAATTCCAAAAACCGAAAAGCTCTGAAAACCGAAAGTTTTTTTGTGGAGCAATTTTTTTTTCTTTTGGTAACAGCCCACCCGGGCACAGGTCACTGACCCACATCGGGGCCTGGGGGGTGAAAATGTAATAGTAATAATGATTATAATAATAATGATAATACAGTAATAATAATAACTATTCATAGTAAATAAAAATTTTAATAAAAAATACACAAAAATAAAATAAGAATGATAACAATGATAATAATAACAATAATACTGTAATAATAAAATAATAATAATAATAAAGAAATACAAGAATAAAAAAAAGATCAAAAGTGAGAAACACGACCTAGACCTATGAATTATTATTATTATTATTATTATTATTATTATTATTATTATTATTATTATTATTATTATTATTATTATTATTATTACTATTATATTTTAGCCCCCAGGCCCCAATGTGGGTCAATGACCTGTGCCCGGGTGGGCTAATCACTGTATTTAAAAAAAAAAAAAAAAAAAACATTCTGAAAATCGAAAAATTCCAAAAACCGAAATGCATTTGGTCCCAAGGATTTCGGATAAGGGATTGTCAACTGTACTTCACACAGAATGGTGGTAGAATGGGTTGATGTAGAAATGTCGAACAGTCTACCAGCTCAAACTGTGGAATCGAGAACAGTACTGGACTTCAAAATAGTCACAGAGTCTATGAGGTCCAACCCGTTGTGTCTTAAGGGACTTCTATGAAGATATCCTCTGTCTACGTAAAAATTTGAGATGTTTTACTGCATTTCAGGAATAATTCTGGTTGTACCGCCGTCTGCGTTGTACTTTTTCAGTGACTTTGTTTTCTTGTAATAAATTAAAAAAAAATCTGTGTTACATGATGTACAGATATATAGGTACTGTGCTTGGTCAAATTTCCCGAGCAGCTTCCTCAAAATTTCCCTTTTTGACATGAAATTTCCCTAGGTGTCTGTATCATTCGCATTAAAAAATTTTTAACACTTTTTGTCAAGAATTATGAATGCATTCTAGTATATGAATGTCTAAACTATTAAAATTAGCGATAATTAATGAGGAGATACTCACATTATAATGTTTGGGGTCTTCGGCCTTGTATATTTCACCTGTCATCCTCTTAAGAACACTAGGAGCTAGGACGTACTTGAAAGTCGTAGCATGAAGCAGTTTTAAAAGTTCTCTTTGCACGAAGCATCCCATTCATGGTAGATGTACTCAACAGATTTCTCACTTTTGTTTTCATTTGATTATTTTGAGAACATAATCGCTCCACATCAGTTTCTCTATAAAATTTCCAAGTAATGGAAACATCAGTGAGTTATCTCCTTTTTCAAGATTCTCACTTTACCCCAAAACTTGCACATACTTACGGTATGTCACCTTCTACACCTAAATCCATATTGCGTAGCAAGCGCCACTTACAGTTAAGTCCATTTAAATCCCCTTCAGGAACCATGTTAGGAAAGTGAGAGGCTAGAGGGACGATAGACATGACAGTTTTCTTCAGAATGCTTTGGGGGTCCATCACCTCGAGATGTTACAATACTGGATCCGAAAATTTAAATTTTTTCAGTATCCGAGACACTCCTTCTATATAAAATTCAAGGCATCCCCCCCACACACAGCATTCATCCTCCACACAGCATCCTTCCCACACACAGCATACTTCCTTCACACAGCATACTTCCCACACAGTCAGGTCAATCCTCCGTACATTGCACATTAGTCGACTGAGATCTGGCGCGCGGTTACTATTTATTACAATAAATCTGAAACTTTTTTTACTCCAATATTCTGACCGACTTCCGGAAACCGTGTAAGACGGTCTGGATCCGCCACTGCAAATTTTAGTTTTGTTCCTTTTTTGAAGGTGCGTGCAAATGCCTCATTGCCATTTTCCCCTAGTTTTATAGCATTTTTCGTTTTTCTTCCTCTTTTCCCTCTAGGGGTTATTTTTTCCATAGAAAAGGGAAACTTCCCTATACCTGGCACACTGGCTGGCTTTACTTTGTTTGTGGAAACTGTCGATGACCTACATGAGTTTTGTGTTGATAAAAATGGTCAGTCGGTGCTACTAAAGCGTGCTCTACGAAGATATCTTTAGTCTAACCTAACCTGACTTAACCTAACCTAACCTTACCTAGCCTAACCTGACCTAATCTAATCTAATCTGACCTAACCTAAGCTAATTTAATCTGAATATCTGGCAGACCGCACGCTCCAGTAGCACCGGTGAGTTTCTAGTTGGTTATTATTAGGTTAGGTTAGGTTTACAAAAAATAGACGCCGACGGTGTAATTTTTTTGTTGGACAAATCGTAAAAAAAAAAAAATATTTTAAAATCATTTATTCTAGATGTCCGCTTTCTAAAAATCATCAATGTTCAGAATTTTGTTCAATGAATTGTGAGAAGTCCACTCGTCTTTAAACTTGACAATTTCGAGACAGCTTTTCATTCAGTAAAATCGTAATGAAAAATGCAAATATAAATTGCTTGAACGTTTGCTGTACATAGACAGTTCAGGCATATAAACAACGTCAAACAGCAAGTCGAAACCTTAGTCAAATATATAGTATCAGTATTCACCCATCCCCTTGGTCTGTCCAATGCTATACTTAAAAACATAAAGTTAGTAAAATATGACAGATTTTGACAGGGAAATTAGGATAGGATATAGGCACATCTGGCAACTTAGAGGAATGTGACACAGGCAAGGACTAGTGACTACCTGGTCTTATTATACCATGAACTATGTAGCTACTACATGGAATCAGGAGTCCTTGGAGATATTTTGGTAGTTTATCCTAGATTTGTTAACTCAAACTGATTAGTCCTCAATTATAATATGACACTAATGAATATGACCTACTCTATTATCTTCTCTCGTGTATAATCCTCTGAACTGCATATCAGTGATACTGTTGTGGATTCCTCCCCTACAAACGCCGTTTGTCGCTAACGAGCCGACCCACGATTCCAGCCGCACTTCGTGTCTAGGTAAGCAACCAGCGCCGCCATACATGACTGAGGTCAACTATTAAGCCACGCCTACCTCCGCTATATAAGACCTGACCTCGTGGTGACCTACCTCTCTTTCTACCTACAGCCAGTCTTCAAGCAACACCTCCTCCTCCACGCCTGCCTGGCGGCCCTCGCTCCAGCCGGCGACCATGGCGACCCACAAGCTGGTTCTCCTCTGAGCACCCTCACCAACCATCTCTCTCTACATCACGCTTGTAACCACGCTGCCACTTCCCAGCACCAAGCTGCACTGTACTTCCAATACAATATGTATACAGTGAGCACATTGTGAGTTTCCTTTCTCCATCCCATCCTGAGTGTGAACCAAATATCACATAACCCCACAAATGGTGACCCCCGGAGATTCGCACTCACACAGGATGTAGGAGAAACCGGTCACTCTCCCAGTCTTCAAGCAACATGTAAGACTGGCTTATCCACACAGTAGGCAGCTCTCACCGGCTCTACGGCTACTGTCTCTACATCGCAGGTTAGACACCCTAGAGCAGCACTGCTTTTCTAAGCAGACACCAGCTCCTCTTCCTGCCCAAAGCACCACGTCCTACCGACCCCAGCAGGCGCATCTGAGGACTCTGTACCAGCCCAGAGGGAACCACAACATTCATCGCCCCCACACACCGTTTTTTTTCCCTCAGGCACTCCCTGCTACTGTCTTGCACCCTGCTTCTGTCGTGGACTCTGCTGCTGTTGTAGAACCTGCTCCTATCATAGACCCTCCTGACGTCGCCCCTGACCCAGTCATCCCAGCCAGTGACCATGAGGACGCTGCCCCTGCAGCTACAGAAGCACAACATTCATCGCCCCCACACACCCTTTTTCTCTCTCTCTTCTCCCACAGATCTCGTGTGTCTAGACAGTTGTCTCCTCTAGCGGCCGGCTCATCCACGCCCTCGCCGTTATGTCTCACATGTGGCATGCAACCCTGCAGATAACAAGTCTCCTCCACCGCCTGGAGGGAAGGGGGAGTATTGTAGTGGATTCCTCCCCTACAAACGCCGTTTGTTGCTGACGAGCCGACCCACGAATCCAGCCGCACCTTTTGTCTAGGTCAGCAACCAGCGCCGCCATACATGACTGAGGTCAACTATTAAGCCACGCCTACCTCCGCTATATAAGACTGACCTCGTGGTGACCTACCTCTCTTTCTACCTACAGCCAGTCTTCAAGCAACACCTCCTCCTCCACTCCTGCCTGGCGGCCCTCGCTCCCGCCAGCGACCATGGCGACCCACAAGCTGGTTCTCCTCTGAGCACCCTCACCAACCAGCTCTCTCTACATCACGCTTATAACCACGCTGCCACTTCCCAGCACCAAGCTGCACTGTACTTCCAATACAATATGTATACAGAGAGCACCTTGTGAGTTTCCTTTCTCCATCCCATCCTGAGTGTGAACCAAATATCGCATAACCCCACAATATCACCCTCAGTGTCATTACCTATTATAATCTTGTTCTGCTTTCTGTTTACCTAAAAATCGAAGTGAAAATGAATGGTAGACTTTTTTATGGCATCTTATCAATAAATGTGGATTAATAAAAAATATATTGTTATTTGTGTTAACTGCTAGGAATACTTTTGCTAATACTCCTATTACTTATACTACTAGCTACTAACTACTAACCACTACTACTTATGTGAGTACTACTACTAGTACTTCTACTTCTAATTTTAATACAGTACTAAGTATTACTTCTACTTCTACTGTTACTTTTTTTTATTCAATATGGCCTCCATCCTCCCCTTATAGCCACACCTTCGCCGCCATTTTATTACCTTAAAATTAAATATCCTAATATATAAGTAGCTACCCTAGTGTTACTTACTTCTAAATATTAAGTACTACTTCTACTTCTACTATGACTACTATTTTTTTTACTGTAGTACCACTATTACTTTTTTTTTTTTTTTAGAAATTGGCCTCCAGCCTCCCCCAATAGCCATACCTTCACTACTACTAGAGTAATGAATACTATTACTACAACAAAATACTCCACATACGAGCTATATTTGCATGGGTTAAGAAAATGAAATAACAGTGGGCATAAAACTAATCAACAGCGGGCACAAAGAATGTACAGTAATTGCAGGAGCCGAGGAAAAGATTACAATCAATTTGAGGATCCTTAACGAACAGCTGAGCCAACATAACCCAAATATTTTCTTTTTAACCAACTGTCACTTAATAACTAACTTCGATGTTGCTCTATTTTATAATCATTTAACCTGCAGAGAAATTATAATTATCAAAGGCAGATCCAGGAAATTTCCTAAAGTGACCCTGCACACATAAAAGCGCATCTGATTAGGTTGTGTTGTGAAGGATTACAGTTATTAAAGAAGACTACAGTGCACAAGTGTGTTTCTGTGACTTGGTGGAAATCTACCTGCATGTTGTTTGTCTGTACACTGATACCGATCGTCGGGGAATTACCGGAGACTGGCGGGACAGCCAGTGGTAATTCGACAACTCTTGTGAGATATCTACTGCTCTGTACATACGACCCTAGCCGATGGTAACCAGTGGGGAAAGCTGGGTAAGCAGTGAAAGGAGAAGGGTCGTAACAATATTTTCGCTCCCAGGCATTGATGTGGGTCATAAAATGACCTGTGACCGGGTGGGCTAATGCCCGTAAAAAATACAGAAATATACGCACACAAACACATACAAACACAAACACATACAAACATAGACACATACACACAGTAACAAAAAGGAGTGTATAGTATGTACTTAACAGACAGTGAATAACCTCAGTGGTGTGCGGTTAACCTATCATTTGTTGCTCACGGGTGGTGGAATGGTGGAGTGACTCGCTAGGCTCCTCCTTCTTGCACGTGGCGACGGCAAAGTGTCGTCTTCTTGGCCCAGTTGTGCGTCAACAGCTGTGGTGTGCTGGTGTGTTACCCTCCTCAGCCTTCCCTTTCGGTATAACGCCATTACTCCTGCATAAATAGAATGCCACTTTCGTCTAATGTAGCTCCATTAAAATCATCATTGCAGGCAGAAAAAGAGTGAAAGTTTGTCCGGTTCCTGTTGATTGTTCTCCCTGGCACCTTTTGTTATGGATACACCATAGTTAACTTATGGTTCAGTTTCCTGTGGCGGTCAGTGACATTGTTGGACAAGTACCGGGGAGTGTCGCTGCTATCTGCCTCTTGTTCAGGTGAGTTAAACAGAAAGAGTGAGAGTGAGTGACAATAATCAACCAAGACCACTTGGAAGTTACCGTACACTGTATACATATTCATAATAATATTAATTAGTAAAGCATTAATAGTAATTAATACAACTACTAGTACAGTACTACCGCTATTCCCGCTGCTATTACTATTATTAATGTAACTGATACTACCACTACTACTACAGGTTATATGTGTAATTGTCAGGTTAATACTGTATCGCTTTTTCTCACAAATTGTCAACTGTTTTATTCATTCTTTTCTCCTCGCCATACTTTTGTCATTATAAAACTAAGGTAACACATTTAAGTTTTAGTGGGATAAGCCCACCCGGGCACAGGTAACTGACCCATATTGGGGCGGGGGTCGAAAAAATGAACCATAAATAAATACAGATGAGGAAAAAATAAAAATAAATCAAGAGTGAGAAACGATATATATGTTGTGTTGTCAAAGTGAAAGACCCTGCAATTGTGTGTAAATGAGGCAGAAAATCAATCAAATCAGCAACCCGGGACTTGGTCATAAATTTTGTGATGTTTATTATGGCAGCAGGGTCTACCATTAAAAGACAACACATTATGCTTCTTATAATTTTCCCAGGCGGTAGTGCCAAACTCTGTAATTATAGGATATGTTCATATATTCATCATTATTCTATCCTCCATAATAGAGTCAAACAGTCAGTACAGTATTTTCATAAATGTTTTTACGTGTTCTACGAATATGCAGTCCGGAACTCACTGATGAGGAATTTGTCTATAATATTGGACTGAACTTAAAGTACCCTAGATATTTTATAGACAAATGCCTTAACATGGCTAAGAAATCTTATTATAGAACTGATCTACATCTCCTCATGACAATAAAAATCTCCTAGTTTTATTATTTAACCAAAAAATATCTCAAGTTCCTCTGCAACTGAAAATCTGGAACGTAAATGTAAGTTTCAGTAATTCTTGCAATGAAAAGAAAATCCTAATTGAGAATTCTTCAAGCAATGCAGGCGGTTGCATCTACTGTCCAAAGTTCCGTGCAAAGAGTGCAATATGTTCTTTACACAGACACAGTGACCATATCTTTCATGACGTCACAGCTGATCTGATCCTTGAATTTTCTGTTCACACAATGATCTGACCTGCCCAGGTGCGTGCTCCGGCCCCAGTGACGTCACAGCTGACGTCTATTCTCACAATGAGCTGATCTGAACCTCAAACATTACCACATCTGTCTTCCTGACTCCTCAGCCCCATGTGTTGTTGCCTGACCGACAGCATCTTTGAAAATCTTAAAATGTGTCGATACTTTTAACTTGTTAAACAATGCTTCTCTGTGATTTATGACTATAGTAATTACTGTTTATATGTTATCATGTACTGTATAATTTATTTAGTAGATTTTTTGCATTACTGATATCATTTCAGTATGATTAAAATATATGACGACGAATAATGAATAAAATAGTGAATAAATGAATAATACATTTGAATGAATGATGATGAATAACAAATAGAATAGAATTTATATAGATAAATTATTACCAAAACACAACCCTTTTTTTTTTAGTGTATAGGGGGCGTCAATAATCAGCTCAAAATATAGTCAACTTATCTCATACCTTAAATCAACTTAGAATAACATTTGTATTTCCATCAACATGCAAGATAATACAGCATATATTATAAGTAATGGTGCAATAGATTCTTGTAATCGTGTAGCCTTAAAAAGTCTTTAGTTCTGTTTAATTTTTTGACGCTTGGCTGACTTGAATATGGTGGACAGTTGATGAAGGGACTTGATCTCGCTCTCCTTTTCTGTTTATATTGATCTTGTCATTAACTACTCCTAACACGGCCGAAATATCCGAAAGGGAAAGAGGGCCAAAAACCCCAACAATCAACCCAACCTAAAGTCCTAAGTCTGTACTCACCCCTGAAGATGCGAAATACTCGGAAGCGCTTGGGAACTACGTGTTTTTCTTTTATCCTGTGGTTATCAGCATATACTAGGCTCACGCGCACCTACTGGGATTTATTTATGTAATGTTAGGCTAAATAAGAGCGTTAACATCCATGCATTCTCTTATTTTTTTTTTTACTTATGCCTGAACACAGATCATGCAGAATTGTAGATCATCATAATACATATAAATGAATAGCCTCATAATCAAGCAAGCTTAACCTAATCTAACCTAACCTAGCCTAGCCCCAACTGACCTACTTTATTTGGTTATCTTATGATGATAAACGACGTCTCAAATGAAACAGCATATTTTACCATTATGTTGTAGCAATAAAAACAAACAGTTATACCTATTTGGCAAAAGCTTCCGTTTTTTTAAGCTTATTCAGTGATTATCCATATTTAGCATGACCACACACACACACACACACACACATTTGGATAAGAAGATACGGAGACGAGACTGTTATACAGCTTCCTCATATACGAGTACTTCTTTACCGTTATCTTGTCTTGTCATGAAAAAGTCCATCCCTCAAGAACTAAAGTGTTATGATGTCTTCTGAGTCTGCACCATCATCCTCTGACTGTGAATAAACTGGCTCTCTAAGTCGGCATTCTATTTTAAATCTTCCTAAGTCGGCATTCTATTTTAAATCTCCTCCCCCTCCCCCCGAAAAAAATGGGAGCCTTCCCTTTTCTGAAAATATAATAAGTAGTCATAAATATTTCCGAGTTCACCGTGTTATGGAATTTTGGATCCATTTTCAATGAATACTTTTTTTTTCTGGGTTTGCATTTGTCTGTGTTTTGTTTATTTTTTGTTTCAGAATGAAGATAGGCTCTCTCTCTCTCTCTCTCTCTCTCTTCGTCAACGATACCGGGGAAAAGTATAATAAGTGACAGGGGTAAACACTTGTTCCTGATCATTACAACAGAGCTCGCGTGTCAGAATTCACTCATGATGTACAGTATAGTTACTCGAATGTCACGTTGTGTTTACAGTGGAGACAGACATTGAGGAAGATCGTCGGAGAGGCGCAAGTGTAACAGGTTAGGTTAAGGGTAAATAGGAGCTTAAAGCAGAATTAAACCCTGGGTGTATCTGGTCATGTCCGTTTTCCACCCGTGTTATAGATTGGTCCCACTTCCATATGTAGGTCATCTCGACGCCTGAGTTACCCACATAATATGTAGATGACCCACATAATTTTTCTTTTTGAGGAGCGTCAGCACAATCTGTTGACGAGTTAGAAATTAAATAGAAGTCGTTTGGTAGTCAGGTGAATCTGTTAGTCATATTATGTTGTTTGTGGACCAGTAGCATCGTTATCTTTTTCACACACGCACACACACACACACACACACACACACACACACACACACACACACCATTTTCTACACCGGGAAATAGTCGTGTGAAATTTTATCCCCTGGTAAACTGTATGGTAGGATGTCAACCGTTCACCGAGGCCGTTACGCATCTGTTCGTTTGTCACGCCACCTTCTACACTTAAGAAGACTGTAAAAATAACAAAAACAAAAAAAGCTAACGGTAAAGTTTTTTCTCATTCTCTTGTTCCGTGGCGGCAACAACGGTCTCGTAGAAAAGACGCTCTATAAAACGGAGACTGACGGGTAATACATCACACGCTATAACACCCTTTATAACGTGACCCTGGAAGGTTAATAGTGGGCGGTTTTGTCTTTAGAGAAAACGATAGTATAGAGGAGTGGGAGGAGCGATGGTAGTGATGGGGAGGGGTAGTGATGGGGAGGGAGGTAGTGATGGGGAGGGGAAGTGTGATGGGGAGGTTCTTGATGATAGGTAGGGGTGATGATGATGGGGAGAGGTGGTGATGATGATGGAAGGGTGATGATGATGGGGGAGGGGTGGTGATGATGAGGAAGGGTGATGATGGTGGGGAGAGGTGATAATGGGAAGGGTGGTGATGATGGGGAGAGGTGGTGATGATGATGGAAGGGTGATGATGATGGGGAGGGGTGGTGATGATGAGGAAGGGTGGTGATGATGGGGAGGGGTGATGATGATGAGGAAGGGTGGTGATGATGGGGAGGGGTGATGATGGAGAGGTAATGGTGGGGAGAGGTGATAATGGGGAAGGGTGGTGATGGGGGGTTCCTTGATCCCATGGTGCCATTATGACATAAAATATGAAAGTCAGACTGTAATATAAACACTTGATACATGTATATTTGAATTAAAAAATAAATAATTTTTACCGAGTGTCACTGAGAGAGAGAGAGAGAGATAAATCTATTTACATATAAAACAACATTATCAGCTGGCACGTTAAATACAAGAGTTGCAGAATCATGTAACTATTATGTTTATCAGAGCATTAACTGAGAAGCGCCTGTCTCTGAGCCCCTTACAAGATAAACACTCAAGCTATCCTCTTCCTTCGCATATCTTCCCCTTCTTATTTCTCACCCCGCCCTTCTTCTTTATCCCCCTCTTCTCTTCTTCCTTCGCTACTCTTCCCCTCTCACTTCTCCCACTTGTCTTTTTCCCCTCGCCCTCGTTCCCCTCCCCCCTTCGCCCCTATCCTCTTCTCATCTTTCTCTTCCTCCCTTCCTCTCCTCCCCGTATCCCTCCTCCCCCTCCAATTTCCATCCCTCCCCTCTGTCCTCTCCATCCCTTCGCCCCATATTACTCCCCACCCCTCCTCTCTCTCTCCTTCACATTGCCAAGATGTTGAGAGGATGTCGATCGTTAAAGGGGAAATGTGTTGAATAGTTTTTAAGGTTTTATTATGTATTAATTGTGGCGTTATAATTATTTTGATGATTTTTGCGTTTCTTAATTTTTTTTTACTGCCCAGCATGAACTTCACAATCTAAAGAACGAATGGTTGAAAAACAAAGCATGTGAAACGCAAAAGCTTGCAGACCAACACAAGATGCGCAAATTTTTAAATTCCACCAAAACATTTTATGGGCCAATCACTCATGGCGCATCCCACCTCCGCCCATCCGATGGTAACCCCCTAATTAAAAA